GAAATTAAGCAGAAGTAAAATATTGAAAATTAAGTAGGGCACCGAACTCATGACTAAAGCACAGAAAAAAAAAGAAGAAAGGATGCCATCGAATCTCGAACGAACATTGGCCGGAGAAAATGTATAACTTCGCGGGAGAAAGGTCCAAAAGCCGGGTTCGTTGGCCTTCCTCTTCTTCCGAACATGAGTATGTAATGTCCATAAACCATCTCTTAGTGTGTAATATTCAAGATTTAATGCGAATGAAAGAAAAAAAAAATATATTTCATGAAGATAGATATTGATCGTAAATGTTGTCAAATATCAATTCAATTAAGAATCTTTGAAATATTTAAAATGTTTCGCACCAAATTGAATACCAAATTTCAATTATTCACATATACATAGTTAGTACATATTACATAGTTTCAATCATAGAAAATTTTATGAAATATATTTTACGAGTTTGTTTTTCCACTATTTATAGTACATAGAACGATAAACAATTCTATTTTAATGAAACAAAACAATTATAAACAATTCACATAATTTCATCTTCTCGCGTGGGTGAGGTAAAAGTTCTTCCGTTGTTTCATGAATAAAAAATATTCTACCATTCCGGAGAGACACAATGTGAAATTTGCATGATGGAAAATGCGATTAGAAATAGATTGAATCTAAAACAGAATATACAATAAAAGTTAAAAATATGAAATAATTAAAAAATGTAATGATAAATTGTAATTTTATTTGTAAATAATCAAATTACCTTTTGAAAGCTGATTAACCTCACTTTTGTCAATTTTCAATTGACAACTTTTCAATTGATGATAGATATCCTTAATATTTAATTTTTGAAAGAATAAATGAATTATATAAATAATTTCATCTATCGAAAAGAGCTAATAAAAATAATTTCTTTTTTATTCGTGTAATTAATTAGTTTAATTTAAGAAATCATATGTTAAATATCAGTGTTTAATTTCTAATTCCAAAATAATTAAATGTCATTTAATATATTAATTTTAATGAATAAAAGTATTATTGTGCAATTAAAAATAAAAATAAAATTTAATCCATAAAAAAGTGCAACCTGTTTATTT